AATGTGTTCACGAATGGCTGTCTCCCGAAACAACTTGAATGCAGAGCTTTTCGAAACTCATGAATTCTTAATGCATAAACAGCTGGATTGATAAAAGAGTTAGAGTAGTTGAAAACGTTTGCCATGTGATAAAATTTCCGTTGTACAGGTAAAAAGCAGACATATATTAAGAAGTTATTACAACTAAAGGTAACCATGCCAGCAAAGTACGGCCAGAGACAAATAACAATGTCTTTGTCAAGCGCTTGTCTGTTTTGCTGATGTGAAACGGCGACACTTCCACTTCGCAACTTTTTCCAAACATTAATATTACAGCTACACATGATTAACATGAGGATTAAAATAAATGACCCTCAGAGAAATATCGTGTTCCTGGAAGAAAATATTAAATCTGACCCAGTCCAAATCGCAGAGTTAAGGAGAGCGAGGAGCCACACGACGAAAATAACAATGCCGTACGCTCGCCTGGATAAAGTTCGGTGCTTAAATGGCCAGTGAATGGCGTAAAATCTCTCGCAGGATATGAAGACAGCAGAAATAATCGAGGCTTGCGAAAAGAATCAACAGTTAGGAAGATAATTAAGAAAGGCTGGTTTTCGTCTAAGTCCCCATTCCGACTGGTCCAAAGGCTAAAATCGAAGCCGACATCGTAAGTGTATATATGTAAACTCACGGCTCTCAACAACAGGTCAGCAAACGCCATGTTGACGGGTGGAGAGAGATTTTCCTTGCGAATACTTTTGTTCTTCACATAAAGGGTTATTGTGAGTAAGTTTCCCGAGACAACTAAAACAGAGATGAACATAAAAGCACTACACAGTGCGATGCCTTCCGTCTTGGAGGGAAAATCTTTTGATGAATTAAGATCTTCTCTTACGCTTACGTTAGCAGCGGATCTATCGTTCATTGCAGGGTTTCTGACAAGATGACGACACTGAGGAAGCGGGGAGAAAAATTTCCTCTTAAATGGGTGGAAGTCGAATGATCAGTGTAGAAACCGAGTCGTAGCAGATGTTGTGTTTCCCAGTAAACCGACCAATAGTAACACATTAGCTCCAATGTTAATTTTTTTTCCTTTTTTGTTTTGTTTTGTTTTGTTTTGTCTTTTCTTACGCGATGAAATGTTCCCCTTTCACCGGAGGAAAGGCCAAAAGAAACGTCACGGTTGCCATCATGGCTTTCTCTGAAAATAGGCCATAATTGAGAGCTTAGGTCGCGCTGTAACTTTGGCAATTCTGCAGTACAATAGTCCGCAGCTTTGATGTTACTGTGCGGCATGCAGTTCTGTGTGAGACATTCCGTTAGAGGCGAAGGTTTGGAGACAAATTGCACTGCTGTTCACATTCAAAGTAGATCATATGTGTACTTAAATAGAACTTATTGTTCTTGTCATCTTACATTTGCTTCTAGTAAATTACTCAGTTCGTGATCGTTCCTCACGGGAGATCTTTTTCCAAACTAGTCTGTCCGACTTGATGTCCGAAAGAGAGTTATTATAATTATACCAATTACCTGAGAAAATTTCCTCCAACGTCAAACGTTCTTGTTTAATAAGAATTGCAAGTCGTCACGTATCAGGAAGTCTTTTTCCGTGTCAATCAGAAGTCAATAAAAAGAACTGGAATATCCCAACAAAATATTCTCAAATTTAAAGAATTCGGAAAAAAAAAGCATGTTTTCATATCAAGTGATCCAAGGGAAAATCAGGAGGCTTAATGGGAGGAGCAGTAGTTAAGAGCCTTCTATTCTGAAAATTTGTTCTTACTGTACCCATTTAATCAAAAGTTAATACCTTCAAACGATGCCTATACTTTATGTATTTAAATTTTGAGAACTTGTACACGATTACATGAGTAGTTTTCGTTGTTTCCTCAGGTTTTATGAAACGTCTCAATCGCGCGCCCAGCTGAGGAAAGTTCTGAGTTATTTTTACTCCGAGTGCCGAACAAATTTAACCGGCAATGATTGTAATATCCAGGCAGTTCTTGCCTTATCATTATCCATCGGTTTGTTTATTTGGGCACATCAACAGACAAGTCTAATTTACCTACCTTTAATTTCTCTTTTGTCGATCAGGCTGTTGTCAAACGTTAACCTGATGTAGTTATTAGAAATGTTAATTTTTTGAGAAGTAACAGACAGGTATTGATAGCTCCAAATTATAATTATAAAACATCAAGTGGTGATAATATATATGGTTTTAGTTATCCTGCGTCATTCACATTGAATTGCAAATATAAAACTAAACTGCTGACAGAACGGATGTCATTCAGTTACAACTTGTTTACACGCTAGTGATGACTGACATCAGTTTTTCCTGTCCTCTGGTGGCTCTCTTTCGAAACAACATGAATGCTTGTCGAAACTCAGTGATTTTTAATGTATAAACAACTGCATTGACAAAAGAGTTAAAGTAGTTGAAAAGGTTTACCACGTAATTGAACTTCCAATTTGAAGGTAACGAAACGTCTATTAAGAAGGGAATTGCAACTAAAGGCATCCAAGCCAGCAAAGTAAGGCCAGATATAAATAGCAATGTCCTTGTCAAGCGCTTGTTTTGCCTGTCTCCGTTTTGTTGACGCGAGGCGGACGCACTTCCATTTTTAAATTCTCTCCAGATACTAAGGTTGCATCCACACACGGTCAGTATGAGAATCAAAGTGTGTAGTCCCCAAAAAACTGTGGTGTATTTGACAGAAAGTTGTTCTAATCCAATACAGATCGCTGAGATTATGAGAGCGAGTATCCACACTGTTAAAATAGCGACGCAGTATGTTCGCGTTGATAATGTTCGGTGTTTAAACGGCCAATTTATGGCGTGAAATCTCTCACAGGATATGAAGGCTGCAGAAATAAGTGAGGCTTGCACTACGAATGTATCAGCGGTTCGGAAGATAACATAAAGTGGTTTGTTAATTTCGAAGCCCACCGTCACGTTCCACAGCTGGAAATCGATGCCGAGGTGGTAAATGTACATGGGTAAACCCAAAGCCCCTAACAACAGGTCAGCAAACGCCATGTTGATGGGTAGAAAGAAATGTTTCTTGCGAATGTTTTTGTTCTTCACAAAAAGAATGATGGTTAGTAAGTTTCCCGAGACAACTAAAACAAATGTCAACATGAAAGCACTACACAGTGCGATGCCTTCCGCCTTGACAGGAACATCCTTTGATGAATTGAGATCTTCTGTTAAGTTGTTGTTAGGAGCGGATGTATTCTTCATTGCGAAGACGATAAAACTGAGGGAAAGGAAGAGAAGTGCCGTCATAAATTGATGGAAGTCGGATGATGTGTAGAAACCAAGTTGCAGCAGATGTTTTTGCTTCCCTGTACTGACTATGACTACATTAGGGTGTCCCGAAAACGCTGACCCCCAGTCCATCTACCCCCCCTACAGACCTGGTCCACGGACCCCTGTACGGATGTAGCGTTGCAGTTGTGTCTTCCGTTGCAGTTATGTCCTCACAACTAATAACTACGGTGGCCCAGAAGGCTCAACGCAAACAAAAAATATACTGCCGCAAATAAAAAATATACTGCAGCAAATAAAAAAATACTGCAGCAAATAAAAAATATACTGTAGCAACTAAAAAATATACTGCAGCAAGTAAAAAAATCAAAACGCAAAGAAAAAAAGTACCGCAGCAAATACAAAATGCAACGCAAACAAAAAATACTGCAGCAAATAAGATATGCAACGCAAACAAAAAAAAAGAAAACGAAAACAAAAAAAATTGGAACGCAACGCTAAGGAAGACTGGGTAATAGTTCTTAGTTTCCCGCAAACACTCGTTCTATCCTTTGCTTGTTCACCTCTCCGAAACCATGTTTTGCAGCGAACTTATGACAGTACCATGCTGCTCCTTTAAAAAATCGATAATAACTCTATTTTCATACCCTTGATGAAAGTAATCTTCTATAATCCTACGCAGATCGCTTTCGTCCATAGCCAAAAGCGAGTTCCAGTTCATGCTATTTTGGCGGGAAACTAAGAATTATTACCCAGTCTTCCTTAGCGTTGCGTTCCAATTTTTTTTTGTGAAATGTTCAGCAGGCAACCGTGGACGATACTCCTACTCTTGTACGTTGGTTCAGCGATGATCTGATCGACCCAAAATAACGAATATGAAATATAAATATAGAGGCAAGACCGATACAACGTAGATAAGTAAATTTTAAGACGGAGCACTATATTTCGGCTGGCCAAACCAGCCTTCTTCAGGTGCAGTGGGAATTGACAGAGAATTGGGGTGATACTTCATAGATAGCTGTATGATGTAACAGCGGAAATATGTAAAACTAATTTGATTGACAATGAGTTAACAAAAAAAATAGAAATAGTGAGCAAAAATGCAAATGAAGTAAGGTAAATTGGATAAATAACTAGAAACTAATAAATTTCATCGCGAGCGTTAAGAAATGTATTAGTTTCTTGTTATTTATCCAATTTACCTTACTTCATTTCTATTTTTGCTCACTATTTCTATTTTTATTGTTATCTCATTGTCAATCAAATTAGTTTTACATATTTCCGCTGTTACATCATACAGCTATCTATGAAGCATCACCCTAATCATAGTTTAATTCCCACTGCACCTGAAGAAGGCTGGTTTGGCCAGCCGAAATATAATGCTCCGTCTTAAGATTTACTTATCTACACGTTGTATCGGTCCTGCCTCTATATTTATATTTCAATTGTTTTTATTTGCGTTTTCTTTTTTTTTTTTGTATGCGTTGCATATTTTATTTGCTGCAGTATTTTTTGTTTGCGTTCTGATTTTTTTATTTGCTGCAGTATATTTTTATTTGCTGCAGTATATTTTTTATTTGCTGCAGTATATTTTTTATTTGCTGCAGTACATTTTTTGTCTGCGTTGAGCCTTCTGGGCCACCGTACGTAACCAATAGAATGCGGTTTTTTTTCTTCCAATGAAAAGGCGTTGTGAACGTGTCTCTTGCTTGTCACTTCCCAACTAGGGGAGGGATGCAATGCAAAATTGTAAGAAGATCGTAAGATCTCCACGCTCGAAGGTTAAGAATTTCACGGGATATCCTTGTTTTACGAGCTATCCTTGGTGTTATTTGGGACATATCGGATTGGTGAAAGATTAAGACTTCTGGTTGCGTTTTTAAGTGCGAATTCTTGGCGAAATTTTCTTCAATACATTGGAAAGCTAAGGAAGACGAGAATTTGACGTTGTCTCGTGGCTTTGATTCCGTTAACGGTTTGGAGTGAGTTGGTGATCGAAGTTGTGCTTTTCTGTCGAAACTAGTGAGGTAAGGTTTCGGTTACACTTCATGCTAGTATTTTTGTTAAATTTAAATATTACAACCATTCTTAAAAGGTCGCGTTCAAGTTTCGGGCTAAATACTGTAGATTTCGTGTGGCTGCATGATAAAGCGTCCGAGTAACTACTAACCTGGATTCATTGAATCCTTTTGTGTCGAGGGTTGATTTTTTTTTATTATTTTGCTTGGGACATGCTAAACTAGATGATACATAATTAAAAAACGAGACAGATCTCGGTGTTTCAATGACCGAAAATTTGCGATTTTCTTCCAGCCTCGTTATAATTTTTATTGTTGCATTTAGCAATCTCATAGTGTCTACATTGATGGTTATTATAGATACAGTTGAAGACATGTATTCGTTGTAATTGTATGGGACTACGCAAAAATTCAACCTCTGGTATGGTTGGTGTCAAACATCCCATATCCTGGAAAGTTAACGGCAAGAGTATCATATAACCCCATACATAATTATGCATTCCGTCTTTGTCAATTAAAACAATAGCGATAACAATAGAACTCCGCAGAGACTAGTAGTCTTTGTTTTGAAAATTTGGATTTTTTTTCTAAGTCTTTTTTGAAACAGGGTAAATTTGGCGCGTTTTGGCTTTGCAAAACAGAAAACTCAAGTAATTTTCCAGAGGTTTTTAATTTTGAAATATAANATGTGGTATTTGGCCAATCGTAGAGAAGAAGAAATGCATTCTTTAGTGCAAAGGGGACCTTTGTGCATTATATCAATGCACATATTGTTATGAAAATTTTTTTACTGAAAGGTAAAAGAAAATGTAGCTTTTGGAGAGGAACTCCTAACTGGTTTGCGTAGCATTGTCTTAAAAACAATGGGGTGCATACATAATTAATGTAATTGAATGCATAATTAATGTATGGGGTTATATGGTACTCTTTCCAAGTTAACTCACAAACTGTTGACACAAACTGTTATGATGAAGATCTGGTATCTTTTATAAAGGATAGGGTATTCTCTCCCATGCTCTCCAGCAAGAAACAGTTGGGTTACAATGCAATAAATTGTTCTCTTTGCTCGCCCAGAAGAGGACAGATTTGCAGCAAAATTACTCTTCACTGAATAATATGTGCTTTTCCATTTAAATCAGTGGCTGACATATGCCACTTTTGATCAATTTAGAATAACTTGAAAGCCCTTTGAACTAAATCATAAGGAATATGATAATAATGTATATGTTATAATTATGTTACCACACTTAACATACTTTTACAACTATGTGTTTTAATTATTGAAATGACATAAACACTAATTCATGCACAGTTGAATACTTAATTCAGTACAGACTGTTAAGGACATTAGCCAGAAGGCTCATTTTTTTGATTGATTATTGATTAGTTCACTAATTTCAGAATGATCTTAGATAGCCACATAGTTACAATGCTTATCTGTTTTTCTGTATTTCTATTGGTTTTGTAATCGGACCTTTCAGCGTCACCACGCACATATAAAAGGCAAGATTAGCGTCCCTTTGATCAGTTCTTCATAAGTTTTAAATAGTCTTCGTAAACTTTCGCCCTTTTGTTTTCTCAACCTCTGGCACAAGCTGGACCAATATGTGATTACCTTTGTAACTTTGTTTTTCTTTTCCAGTCTTTTCAGTGTTGGGCGACAATATACAAAAAAATATTGCAATAATCTGTATAGATTTAAGATTTAAAGGCCAAATTTGTGCCAATTTGTGAGGTGGTGAACGCCCATCATTTAGATAGAACAATGGGCTGTTTATCAGCCACCAAAATTCTTTTAATTTGTTTTGAAACTTTTGTTCTGTTTTACTTGTATTGTTAATCTCGTTATAGACGTTAGAGCCTAGTGTTTGACATGCGATTCTTTGATTATGTGTTCTGCGGCTTTCATTAGATTGATAGAACTTTGTTGTATTGTTTCAGTTTACGATCAATCGTTCGATAGATTGATTGACTGTGAGAATAATCGTTATTTTCGTCATTGATTGTGGTTTGTGGTCAATTGCCTTTCAAGAATAAAGATTTGTGCAAACAGTCAACTTTGGTTTGTCATTTCGATCAGTAAAATAGTCCCAAACACCTCGTTAACTGCGTTTTGGAGTGACACGCCCTTGAACTTGAGAATTTGGTCGCTGTAAACGCTACACAGACTATTGCCTATTATTAGCAATTATTACTCCTACATGTGTTTGCAAGAACTTGGTCTTGTTGGCTTTCATTGTGAGCCTTTGGTGATCGATATATTAGTGGAGACACTCTCTGCAACTATCTTTGCAAAGAAAATACTAATCTTTTCACCCTTAATACTTAATTTCATTCATACAGGCATGGATGAGAACCAGCAGCAAAGCAAAGTAAACAAAAGTGCCAATGAGGTGGTAAGCTCCATTGTAAACATTTTCTTGGTAAATTATGCACTAGTTATAAAAAGGTATATGTTGTGATTAATTTTTGTCCTTGGTGTAAGCATAATTTTCCTTTGGTTTTGTAGATGATATGAATGAAAATGCATTTTGTGTAACTTAGAAAGATGAAATTTAGCTCCTAGAGTGGAAGTTATGATGAGATGATGTGTGCCATTAGTTTGGCCTCTCTTAATGTACAAGAATTAAACTAAGGATGAAACTGAACCACAGCATACCTATCTAAACCCTTATTTTAATTGTATCAATATTATTATTTTTCTGGTGTTCACCCAATAGATTCAACCCACTGACAGACAAAGATGGCACCCATACATTTTACCATTACTCTTACATGTAGGCTAAGGCACATGTAGAAAGCAATATTTCACAAAACAACACCAAGTCATAAATTTATGCAAAGTTTAAATTTTTCAGACCTTTACAGCTTGTTTTTATGAGTGGTTCCAGGATTTTCTTGCACAAAGAGTTCTGGTTGAGGGTAGCAGTTGCCATATTTTTCGGTATGATGGTTTCACAGTAAGTGTTGTATGAAGTAATGTATCCTCCAACATTAATTTTGCAAACTTGTCACTGACAAAGAGCTAGGTCATGATTAGACACTGATCATTTCATTGATTGCCTTGATCTACATTTATCATTGAAGTGTTACTGTATTTATCTGTGTATAAGTCGACCCTTTATGACTGAAAAATTAGCCCAAAAAAATCACCCTCGTCTTATACACGGATCATAGATAAAGACCTGACCCAAGCAATCCAGGAAATTAGCACAACAATTGCCTGAAGTCCATTAGGAAAACCAGGTTCACAAAACCAGTTCTAATTGCGTTCAAGTTTTGTCAGTTTTCAGTGTGTTCTTCATCGACGATAAAGTTTGAAATAATAAATTTTATGTGGCTTAAACAGAAACCTAGTGGGGTTGATTTCTATTGTATCTTCTGATCTGTAGAGCAGACAATTTTCCTTACAGCTTCGTTGCTGTTTTTGGTGCTGAATTCTCATTTTCATCGAATGATTACAGTAACTTAGTGACTTGGCAATTGCTGTTTTCTTGCGTGGTCCTGTTTGTTATGTGCGTAGACCAACTATGTTATTGTGTAGTTTCCAAGATGGCGGTGTTTTCATCAAGCGATCCTTTGAAGCTCTTCGGTGTTCCTTCAGTCTACTAAATCTCCTTTCAAAAGGTTATTTAAATGCATGAAGATTTCATTTTCAAAATGATTTACAAAAGATGGTAATTTACTTCTCCAGTAAATCGAAGTGCTTGTATATGCTTAAATCATGAATCGTGGGGATGTAAACAAGTGCTACTAAACTTTACAGCACATGGTTACATTTTGCTCTGCAGTTTTTTTTAATTCACCGTGTTTTCAATACATTTTCAGAAATAAGAGATCAGTCATATGGGAAATTTCTGTTGGTCTGAATTTTTCTTAACTAGAAATTATGAAAAATCTGATTTTCAACCTTGAAAATGGGGGTCAACTGATACATGGCTATAAATACGGTAATTAATTCCTTCTCCATCAGTAATAACATTAAAGATTCTGTGTTAGAAATCACAGCACCATACCCCAAAATCTAATGTTGTCCTCAGCACAATTGGCCATTTTACAGTTGTGTACTTAGTAGCCAAGCCTTTGATTCAGAGTGAGGCTGAAGGTGACCTTGTTGTGATAGAGACCTGTATCTACTTAGCATGATAACAAAGTGATTTACATTTGAAAGGCAGCAAGGTTTGTATCATAACAAGGTCAACCCTAGCCTCACTCCCCTTCAAAGGCTTGGCAACCAAGCACAACTGTAAAATGGACTATTTCATTTTTTGAGTAAGGCAAAGCTACAAATCAGTGAAGGGCCACACAGACATCATCACAGAGACAACATTGCCATGTATAATGTTTATGTAGTCAGATATGTAAAAGCTACTCTATTAGTTAATTCAGTTTCAATACTCTCCCTCATAGTAGCTATAATTTTTAGCCAACTTGGGAAATAGCGACCAAAAATGGACCCTTTTGGACATCTAAATTTTTAAATTTCAAGGGGAAGGTTCCCCAGACTTCACCATCCAAGTGGGAATAAATGGCTGCCACGCTGTCATTTTGGTCCCTCCTAGCTGCTTAAATGTTGTCCCTCCTTTCCACAATCTTACCAAAGCCTCCATATGTGTAGTAATAAAAACATTGAAGTGAAGAGTGCTATCTCAGCAAGAGATGATGATCATGCACACTTTTAATTGAGTCATCCTAGCAGATGTTGGCAAGGTATTGCATTCTTTGCTCAAAATCTAGTTTACATAGACCTGGGAAAAAAGAATGGGGTGTAGCAGTCATTCAGGTCGGTTAATTGCTCCAAGCTCTAGTTTTATACCACTGCTCATTTGGTTATCTTTCTTGCCAATACTCTTTCTGGTTATTTGGGTTTTCTTGGAAACTCAGGCTCTTGCCATTGAGAAGAAGCATGATATGTGTTTACAAAATTAAAAGCAAAGAAAAGTGAAAAAAAATTGGAGATTAACAGGATGGTATCAAAGACTGGTATAATTTTTTTTTTCCTCCACATACTCTCCCTCATAGTAGCTATAATTTTTAGCCAACTTGGGAAATAGCAACCAAAAATGGACCCTTTTGGACATCCAAACTTTTAAATTTCAAGGGGAAGGTTCCCCAGACTTTGCCATCCAAGTGGGAATAAATGGCTGCCACACTGTCATTTTGGTCCCTCCTAGCTGCTCAAATGTTGTCCCTCCTTTCCACAATCTTACCAAAGCCTCCATATGTGTAGTAATAAAAACATTGAAGTGAAGAGTGCTATCTCAGCAAGAGATGATGATCATGCACACTTTTAATAGAGTCATCCTAGCAGATGTTTGGCAAGGTATTGCATTCTTTGCTCAAAATCTAGTTTACATAGACCTGGGAAAAAAGAATGGGGTGTAGCAGTCATTCAGGTCGGTAAATTGCTCCAAGCTCTAATTTTATACCACTGCTCATTTGGTTATCTTTCTTGCCAATACTCTTTCTGGGTATTTGGGTTTTCTTGGAAACTCAGGCTCTTGCCATTGAGAAGAAGCATGAGCATGTGTTTACAAATTAAAAGCAAAGAAAAGAGAAAAAAAAATTGGAGAGTAACAGGATGGTATCAAAGACAGTGGTATAATTTTTTTTTTTTGCAGGGGGGTAATTTTTTATTTTTGAATCAGAGTTTTAGCCTAAGTATGTCTAAGTTTATACTCTGGTTGTTTAGTCTTGTGATTTCTTACTTTAAGAAGTAACTAAAGGTAAAATTTTTTGAATTTTTTTAATTATTACAGCCAATTGAGTCTGTAAATGGAAAGTAAACACAAAATAATGATGGTAAGGAACAAATTGCTTGCACTATAAATTATTGAAAGTAGTCGGCACTCTCCATATTTGTTATTTTTAATTGACATGCTTTGCACAGGTGTGGTGTAATAAGTGTGAATAATTAGCTCGTGCTGCAGCATCCCATATCCAATAAACTCAATAGAAGACCCTTCGGTCATTTCACGCCTTATTGGATCCTGACACGTCCTTAAAAGAAAAGTTACCTGAGGTATATTTTTATCGTGAACATTTATGAAGCTTTCTTCTGATATATAGTTTGCTAAGATTTTAGTGAAAGTAATGTAGGTTGCAAACACATTTTTTTCCCCGAAGGACACCCTCAAAAGTGGGAAGTAACCTTAAGCTTGTCGTATGCGATTAAGTCGTATCATATAAATTGGCCCTAAAAACGAAAAATTTACGTTACTTTTATATATTGATGTGAATACTTTGATACACAGTGGCTTTAGCCTCCACATATCCTCTTATGTTTTTCTCTGAATACCTGGGAGCCGAGCAAACTGGTAACCACCCATATTCTCTCGTTCTCTTCAAAATAGAATTGTTGATCAATTTTTGCTGATTTGGCTACCATGGCTCAAGATAGAGGACCACGTGGTGAGATAAACTAATTTCTTCTCTGCCATCCTGAGAAGGTTTCTCATACTTTCAGAATAGAACAGAATTTTGGCTAACCTAACAACTCAACAGGAAATCGTCCCTTTTAAATTGAATGTTCTAAGGGAGTTCTTGAAATTGCTTTGAGGTTTATCGCCTATCATGAAATAAAACCAGTGAACAAGGCTGTTATGAATTACACACAACTTCAGATGAGCGTGTCTGGCATAGTGAAGTACTGGTGCATTTCATCCCTGAGAAGCAGTCAAACCACTGTTTTCTCACTTATAACATTACTTGAAAATTAATAATCAGTGACTTAGATGTCAAGCATATCAAAGAATATTGGCACGGAAAGAGGTACTCTCTTTAATGGTTCATGTGCACATTCTAGGGTGAACGTTATTGTATCTCTAGTATAAACATTGGTGGTGATATTTTTGACAAAGGCCATCACTGGACGGCTATGTTTACGGATTTTGAATGAAAGATTAAACCACAGAGGCTCAGGGTTAAACAGCTTTGTAAAATGTCGTATATTGATATTACTAAGTGATACATTTCTTATGTTTTGAAGAGCATGTGATTAACATGGACTGGCTGGAACAAGAAATAGAGCAGCTGGAAAGAGGAAGAGAAGAACAAAGAAAAATGGAGGAGCAAACGAAAAGAGAGAAACAGAGAAGGGGAGAAGATCATTTTTCCGACACATACCTATACTTAAGTTGTCCCTTTTGAAATTTTAAACCTATATGTCTATGTCACTCAGCAATTCCTCTTTTTTTCGAATATGTGAAATCATGATCTCTCGGAAAACTGCTCTATCAGGGATTTAAATTTAATGTATATTGTTTCTTTTTTTTATTTTTAAGTGAGCTTAATGATCTTGTTTATATTAGGACAGCCATATTAGTACGTCAATGTGATGTGAAGACATTAAATATTTGGAAGAGAAACTTAAAACTTGTCCTTTGCTTACATAGATATTTCTTTTGTGAAGCCCTGCTAAGTGACTCTTGATGTCATGTTAAGTTCTCCTTCGGTTCCACAAGTAAACAGCCAGCGTGTTGGAATGAGACGACAGTAGTTCATCTAAGTCACTAAGGGCTTCTTTTGCCATCAGTCCTTCAAGTCTTCTGTTACAATGCTTTATCTGGCGGTGAATAGTACCCGTGGGCCTCTATTTAATCACTTTCACCAGAGTATGGTGAGGGTCGCACAACAGAGCGAGGATCCAAATTAAGTTCGCCCATTATCCCACCCATCCCACTCCAGGGGAGAACATCCATCACACAGTAATCTCGTGTGTGGGAAATTAACGTCTCCTACCCCAACCCTGCAGGAGACGGGAGCTCCATTTATTCGTCCCTATCCGAGAAGACTAGAATATCTAACCATTTCTTGATGTTATAGAAAGGCAGCAAATTCTTCTCAATTATTTTAAGACCCTGAGTGTTGGTCCGGCCGGGGCTCGAACCCTCGACCTCCCGCACAACAGTCCAGCGCTCTATCCATTGAGCTAAGCGGGAGGCGGTTATATTATCGACTACGTCGATGTTCACTTTGCTTGTCAAGCAAAGATAAATCAATAGTTTGCCGTCAATATATGCACATACATCTGTGTATACAGCGACTACTTGGAAAATTTCTCATTGCCTGAAGACATTTTTAACGCTAAATTGTGTTAAATTCCAAGGGTGAGAATAATATGCAGACCCTTTTCATCAATCAGAACATCACAGTGGTGAAACATAACACCAAAACTTGCAGACTGATAAATATTTTATGGGGAAGGCTACATTCTCTTTTCCAGCAAAATAATCTCCTCAAACTAAGTGATATTTGTCGAATAATCCTAAGGCATTGTGCAGGGGATTCTACAAAGTACCGGCTAAGGTTATTGACTTCACCCGGGAATAGCCATCCGACAACTACCCCCGGGATAGCCTTCCGACAACTACCCCCGGGATAGCCTTCCGACAACTACCCCCGGGATAGCCTTCCGACAACTACCCCCCGGGATAGCCTTCCGACAACTACCCCACGACCCAAAATTTTCTTACGTGAATTAAGAGTGCACTTCCAACGATCTAAGTTACAACTGCAGTACATCTGTTTATCCCTATTTCCATGTTTTGAGTGCATTCGAAAATCAAAACAATTTCACAGCTCGTACCCTGCATCTGCAATACCTCCAAACTTGACATATTCATTATAAGCCCCTTTTTCCATTTTTCACTGAATGTGGAAATTCCCAAAAAATTGGAAATAAACTCTGACAATTTATTCATCAATTGGAATATGTCCTAACATGCCAAATCCGATCTTCACCCCAATTTTCCAAATTCTCGATCAACTCTAGCACGACGGGGTTACTTATGACAACTTCATCCTGCAAGTGGATAATGTCATAACTTTTCCATATCCAATCTTTACCCCGATTTGTTTAATTAACTGTAGAAAAACGGGAATCGCAACAATTCGAGTGACTTGCCGTGTCCAATCTTTACCCCGATTTTCCATTTGTTCAACGAGTTCTAGAAAACCGGGATAAGTTCTGACCATTCATCACGCAAGTGGAATATAACCTTAGTTGCCATATCAATGAATTAATTCCAGAAAAGCAGGACAAACTCTGACAATTCGTGCTACAAGGGGATAATACCCGAAGTTCCCAAATGCCATCTTTGCTTCGACTTTCCAATTCTCTTTTAAGTGAACTCTAGAGAATTAATACCGCAAGTGGAATATAACCTACGTTATCATGTCAAATCTTTCCTGATTTTCCTTTTTTTAATGAATTAATTCTAGAAAAACGGGGTAAACTCTGAGAATTCATGCTACAAGCGGATTATACTTGTAGTTTCCTTATATCATCTTACTCTGATTTTGGAATTTTTTTCAAGGAATTATAGAAAAACGGGGTAAATTCTAGTAACTCATCCTCCAAGTCGATTATATACTATTGACTTGCCACATCTAATCTACTTTACCCCGATTTTTCATATTTTTTCAATGAGTAGAAAAACCGGGCACATTCTGAAAATTAATCCTTTGAGTGGAGTTTATCCCACTGACTCGCCATATCCAATCTTTACCCGATTTTCCATTTCTTTTTTCAATAAATTCTGTAAAAACGGAGTAAATTCTGAGGATTCACGCTACAAGTGGATAAGACCCTAAGTTCCCATATGCCATCTTTACCCCGATTTTCCATTTCTTTTTATAACATAACCAAAGTAAAGCGCGCGCTCTGATTGGTCAATTTAGCGTCCCCCATTTGCCCATGGGTGTACGCTGCTGACGTGAGCTAATGCAAAAACTGTTTTTCCGCGCGCGCTTGTTTTTTCTGGTCGCGTATGATTTGTTAAATAAAAGGGAACTCTTGAGCTATAATGTATCAATGTTATGTTATAAAACAAATGGTAAACACCACAACGTACACTATTGAGTTATGGATGCACTTGGGAGGTTTGCTAAGCACTCAAGAAGCTAGAGTCGCTCTCGGCTATCGCCTCAAGCGACTCTTACGCTTCTTTCGTGCTTAGCAACCTCCCGCGTGCATCCATAGCTCAATAGTGTACGCTGTGGTGTTTACCATTTGTTAATTTCAGCGGTGAATTCTACGATCAGCGCTAATCGTTAGCTCCTCAAAATAAAGCAATACGCAAATAACTTTATTGTAATTAGGAGTTTTTTTAATAACGCCGGCCTGCTTTCAGTTATTATTAATTAATTAACTTCCATAGAAATTAAAAACTTAGACACAACAACACGCTATGTAATGTACTGTTCCTCTTTCATTGTAATCATTCCCTAAAGAAATCTCAATTGGGGTCGAAACGCGTCCCAAATGAATGAAAAGCTTGCAACTGCAAAAAGTGTTTCTTTGTGCGGCTCGCTAGTCTTAGTTAAATGGAAGATAGAAAAAATTACACATTTAAAAAATGTTTGTGTTCTTAGTGAATTCTAGAAAAGCGGGATAAATTCTGAGAATTCGTCCTTCGAGTGGGATAGATCTTAGAGTGCCAAATCCAATCTTTAACCCGATTTTCCATAATTTTTTTTTAACGTACTCTAGAAAAACGGGATGAAGTTTGAGAATTCGGCCCACAAGTGGCTAATACCTTTGGTTCTCATATGCCATCTTCACCCCGATTTTCCATTTGATCAGTGAATTTTAGAAAAACGAGGTAAATTCTGAGCATTCATGCTACAAGTGGATAATACCCCAGGTTCCCATACGATATTTTTACCCCCGATTTTCCATTTTTTTCAACAAATTCTAGGAAAACGGGGTAAAATCTAAGAATCCATAGTCGCAGGTGAAATAGATCCCATGTTGCTATATCCAGTCTTCACCCCGATTTTCCATTTCTTTTTTCAATGAATTCAGGAAAAACGGGATTAATTCTGCGAATTCATCCGCAAGTGGCTAACACGCTAAGTTCCCATTTGCCATCTTTACCCCAATTTTCCATTTGATCAGCGAATTCGAGAAAAACGGGGTAAATTCTGAGCCTTCATGTTACAGGTGAATAATACCCGAAGTTCACACATACTATCTTTATCCCGAATTTCCAATTTTTTTTTCAGTGAATTCGACAAAAAACGGGGTGAAGTCTAAGCGTTCATCCTCCGATTTAATTAGATCTCAAGTTGCTCAAGTAACCAATCTTTAACTCGATTTTCCATTTTTTTATGAATTCTAGAAAAACGGGAGAAATTCTACGAATTCATCCGCAAGTGGCTAACACGCTAAGTTTCCATTTGCCATCCGCTTTACCTGGTTTTTCCATTTGATCAGCGAATTCTAGAAAAACAGGGTAAATTCTGTGAAATTCATCCTTAAGGTGGAGTATATCCTAAAGACTTACCATAGCCATCTTTACCCGATTTTCGATTTGATCATTATGTGAATTTGTCGTAAACGGTGTAAATTATGACAAATCCACCCAAAAGTGCAACAAATCCGACAATAATTTAGAAACAGTACTAAAAAAAGAGCAGCTTAAATCAGCGGAACCGTAATGAAATTTAGAGACAGAACAAAAGAAAGTACAGCTAAAATACATACATACATACATACATACATACATACATACATACATACACTTATTTGGTAAAGCAGGTTAAGATACATACAATAGCAGCAAAAAGCTGATGTGGACCTGCTTAAAATAAATTAGATAAAATAGAAGTAGGATGATGTAAAATGTATAAATAAAAACAAGTTAAAAATATACATAGTTATCGTGTTTATTAGCCATCATAGAAGCTCTAAATGAGAAATTATTAATGTCCTTGGAAAATCTACGCAAAATTTACTTGAATTTGTCTTTACTCATGGACTCATTTATATTAATTAATCTATTAAGAAATGTCCAAATTGTTGGTCCTCTATATTGAATAGATTGTTTGCCAATTTCATATTTGACACCGGAAATAACAAATTGGCTTCCCCTTCGTGAAGGTCTATCTCCAAACTTTAAAGTAAATAAAAATGCAAGGTCGTCAGAAACATTATGTTTGATAACATCAAACATGAACAGCAGTAAGCGTCTTTTATAGAGGTATGACAAGGGAAGCCAGCTGAGACTTTGAAGATCATCTTGACCGTGAATTAACCTAGCTGCTCTATCATGTATAGGATTCAAGGAGTTGAGCATGGCAGAACTACAATTCCCCCACACAACCATACCATATATCACTGCTGGTATAATGGATTTAAAATAAATTTCCTCTAATACTTTAGGGGGTAATTGCCTCATACGTTTTAGGGCACCAACTTTTTGTGAGAAGTACTTCTTTATATGGCAAATATGCTTTGACCAAGACAAACAGCTGGCAATAGTCAGTCCTAAACAAGTAGTATTATCCACAATGTTGACATACTTGTCTCCAAACAATATTGGGGCAGCAGGACCAATAAAACTCTGCTTAGTAAAAATCATGGCCTTAGTTT